GCGCTCACCTTGTCCTGAGCTCTCTTCCCTGGACTGTGCTGCTGCCATGGGGAAGGTACCACCACCCTGAGGCCACCCACGTCCTAGGAGATAGCGGCTACCAGGGTTGTGGGTGTTTTTACTATTACTTCAAAGCCATCATAGTCTATGACTGAATCTTTTAGTCTTCTGGTTGTTTTGTCGCTATGATAATAAAGAAATCTAAACAAATAATTATAATTTCTTCATAGTTTTTAAAAATAAAATTATAAAATATAAATGCTTAAAAACAGAATTTGTGCATAGTATGGTGAAGTGTTAATTTTTAAAAATTTTAATTTTCTTGTAGTTCAGCAACCGGATCCAAACCAGCCAAAACCTGAGGGAAGTCAGATGGTGGTGCTGAAAGGAGAGCCCCTGGCAGTGGGGACCCCCTGGCCTCCATCACTGCTGGCTGCTCTGCAGCGGTGGGGTACTACACAGCCCAAAGCGCCCTGTCTGACTGCGCTGGACACAGCAGGGAAGCCCATTTACACCCTCACCTATGGCAAGTACTCACAGAGTTGTGCTTCCTGCCCAGCTGTGAACTGTTAGGGCAGTACATCGGGGATGTACAGTGGACAAGTGTTACAAAGCTCCTTCCCCAAGGGCCAACACAGCTGCCAGAGTGCCAGCCACTCATGACCACCTGCTGACTTGGTCCTGAGCACTGGAGGGCTTAGTGTTTGTGTGTGTTCTGAACAATGTAATTCAGTTTTCTATGATTTTAAAGTTTGTGTAAATGAAATTATGCAGCAGTACTTTTTGTTTGATGTCTTTTGGCTCTTGATGATACTTGTATGTAAACAGCTCATTGGGCATCTATCAGCTTGGTGCCTCTTCAGAGTCAGTGTGCCCTGAGGGCAGGGAAGCCAATGCTCAGATTCTTTTTTTGTATTTAGGATAGGGTGTACAGGGTCTCATTGCGTAGATCTGACTTGTAGTGATCCTCCTGTTTACAGCCTCCCAAGTGCTGGGATTACAGGTGTGCACCACCTCTCTCAGTCTCAATTGCCATCTCAGCATGCCCGGGGGGCGGGGGTGGCACAGCAGGCCAGGGATCAAACTCCTGGCTCCTGCATCTGCCTAAGCAGGTGCTTTAATCTGCTGAGCTATTTGGCTGGCCCTTCAATGCCCAGATTCTTAAGTCAGATGACATAAAAGGCATTCTTCATGTTTATACTCATTTGTCAAGCATGGGATTCATCCATGGTGCTGTATGAAGTGGAGGTGTATTCTTGTTAGTTAATATTATTGTGTTTGCTGGATATACCAGGGTGTTTCCTGTCTGGGGCTGTGGTATACAATGTTCTAATGAATGTTTGGTTTGGTTAGATTTGGTTTAGGTTGGCTTTTGCAGTGCTGGGGATAGAATCCAGGGCTTTGTGGACATTAAACAAGTGCGGCCTCTCCGAGCCACACTCAGTCCTGTTAGGAACATTCTTACTAGATTTCTCTGGTAAGCAAATGCAGAGGCATCTGTGCTAGGTGTGAACACAGAGTGGCTTGCCCAGTGTTAGAGCATTCCACTAGCTTTTGTTTTGTTTGGGCTTTTGTTTTTGGTTTTGTTTTTTTTTTTTTTTTTTTTTTAAGACGGATCTTACTCTGTAGCTTGGGCTGGCCTTGAATTTACTGCAGTCTTTTTAGCTCAGCTTCCCAAGTACTGGGATATAGGCACATGCCGCCACACC